CCATCACCACCAATCATCACCATCACCATCATCATAACCACCATCACCATCACCATCATCACCATCACCATCATCACCATCACCTTCACCACCATCACCATCATCATCACCACCATCACCACCATCATCACCATCATCACCATCACCTCCATCCTCATCACCACCATCACCATCATTATCACCATCACCATCACCACCATCATCACCATCACCACCATCATCACCAATCATCACCATCACCTCCATCCTCATCACCACCATCGTCATAACCATCATCACCATCACCATCACCACCATTGTTAGAAGCTGGCCCCTTGTGCAGCACTGCCTGAGCATTTTGCCTTGTGGTCTCCATTCCTTAACAACCCTCCAAGGCAGATGTTTTTATCCCCTTTTTAGAGAAGAGGAGCAGCAGGGAAATGGCCAAAAATGATGCTGTGTTCTCTCCACTGGTCACTCCCAGCATCTCTATCCCCCACTGGGCTGCCTCCCATCAGGACCGGCTGCTCTGTCCTTCCTGAGGGCCCTGGCTCGGAGCAGCTCCTGAGCACGGGCAGAGTCAGTGCCTTGGGCAGGGCCTTGCTCCTGGGGAGTGCCCGCGGGAGGTGGGGGTACCCAAGCCCTTAGATGGTTCGTCAGGTGTGGCAGGAGCTGTGGCCTCGGTTCCCCTGTCATGCGTGTGCCACGTTCTCCCCCGGTGCCCTCAGGTACTCCTTCCAGGACGAAGAGGACATGTTCATGGTGGTGGACCTGCTCCTGGGCGGGGACCTGCGCTACCACCTGCAGCAGAACGTCCAGTTCTCCGAGGACACGGTGAAGCTATACATCTGTGAGATGGCGCTGGCCCTGGACTACCTGCGCAGCCAGCACATTATCCACAGGTGTGTGCACACCGGACGGCTGGGCCGCCTGCCTAGGCCAGTCCACCTGCAGAACTTGGACAGGCTCCTGCATGGGCTGCCCACCCCCTGGCCTGCAGACCTGCCCTCAGGTGTAGCACCTGGGCCCATCCGCGCCTGGCTCCAAGGCCAGCCCCTGGGGGTGGGCCTTGTGCGAGCAGCCCCCGGCTAGCCAGGATGGGGGTCCCCTTCATCCGGTCTGTCCAGTTGTGGGATCCCGGCCACCACCTAGCAGAGGCCATTTGCTCATCTGCCATGCCCCTGGGGACTGAAACGAATTTTAACATTAGCTGAAAGCAAGTTAGGAAGATAAAGCTGTACCCGAGAACAAAACAAGCAAATGCATGTGGTGTATTATCAAGTTGGATGGGTGGGATCTCTGTGTCTCTGCCCTGGGGGATTCTGTTATCTGGTTACGATTCAGGCACGAAACATTGACTGAGCACCTGGAAGTCAGGCAAGGTGAGGCCTGAGGCCAGCTGCTGGAAGGCAGAGACCCAGATCATCAATTCGGTGCAGCCCCAGGGCTCTGGGAGAGGGGCCAGCCTGGGGGTGCGGGTGAGGGGGCTCTGCATCTGTCCTCGGAGGCTCCAGCACCCCTGTGTCCCAGTGCATTCTCCCGGGTCTGTCTGGCCTCAGCAGGTGGGGGGCTGGAGGCATCCCCAGCCCCAGGACCAGGATAGCTAGTTTAACCTGGCTCCGTCAGAATGTTGCCAGGTGGCAACTTCTTAAGGCCCACTTGGGTCTCTGGGGCCTCTGCCTTGAGTGGGGAGGGGCCCTTGAGGGAACGCCCCACCCTGCCAGGGACTGCAAGGCATGAACGGGGCTCCTGGACCATCTCCCCATTTCCTGCTCCCTCAACAGGGACGTCAAACCCGACAACATCCTGCTGGATGAGCAAGGTGAGCCAAGGCTGTGTGAGGCTGGACGTGGGGGCGTGCGCCTCGCCCATGGGATGCGTCTCCAGCCCTTGGGACACTTGCATTGTCTTCTCTGCTCACAGGGCATGCGCATCTGACCGACTTCAACATCGCCACCATCATAAAGGACGGGGAGCGGGCCACCGCACTAGCTGGGACCAAGCCGTACATGGGTGAGCCGAGGCCACGGGCCCACTGCTGGGCGTGCTGTGTCCGACCCAGGCCGGTGGGGAGGGGGGCTCAGGTCACCCCCCTGAAGGCACAGGACGGTGTGGGACAGGGGGGGGCTGCTAAGCACAGCTGGTTTGATCCCACAGCCCACACCAGGGGGAGGAGGGGCCCCCAGGCAGTTAGTGGAGGAGGGGGCCTGGGGCCTGTGGGTCCGGGATACTCAGCTACCTCTCCGTTCCTGGAAAGCTCCGGAGATCTTCCAGTCTTTCGTCAGTGGTGGGAGCGGCTATTCCTTCGAGGTGGACTGGTGGTCAGTGGGGGTCCTGGCCTACGAGCTGCTACGTGGATGGGTAAGGAGCTGGCCCCGGACCCTGAGCTGGCTGTGTCCCCCAGCGGTGGCCCGAGTGCCCAGGGAAGGATGAGGCTGCCCCCTCCATGGGTGCTCAGGGACAGCCGCCCGCTCCGTGGATGTACGCTTTCAGTGGAGCGTCTCCATGGAGAGAGACTGTCTGAGCAGGTGCAGGAGTGGAAGCCCCCGAGGGTCCCCTGGGGCCGTGGGCAGGTCAGAGACCTGTCAGCAGGTCGGCCTTCTTGGCACTTTCCTGTGGGGGTCATCCTGGTGGCCACCCCCTCATGGGGCCTCCGAGACCCTGCACCCTGAGCCACGCCGCCGGCCCCTCCTGGCCTCAGGGCCCACCCACCCAGGCCCAGGCCTTCTCGGGGGTGACGTGCTTCCTTCCTGGCCCCGGGCTCCCCCTGGGAGCTGTGCCTGCGCTGGGGGTGGGCGCCGCCGCAGGTGCCTCTGGGCGTGGGGGTGGGCACCTGGTGTAGCGCTGCCTCCCCCCCCAGAGGCCCTACGACATCCACTCCAGCAACGCCGTGGAGTCCCTGGTGCAGCTGTTCAGCACAGCGAGCGTGCAGTACGTGCCCACCTGGTCCAAGGGGATGGTAGGCCTGCTGCGGAAGGTGAGCCTCTCCCGTCGGAGGAAGGCCGCGCCCGCCCCCCGCCCCAGGCCCACGGCCCGTCTGGCCACAGGCTCTTTGCCGAGCACTGGTTGTGAGCTGAAGCCCACGTGCCTGTTGGCTCACCTAATCCCCACGATGATCACCCCATTTCACAGATGCCCAGACTGAGGCACATGTCACCGTGTCAGGCGTGCTGGGGGGAGGGCACGTGTGGGCTGGGAGCCGGACCCACGCCGTGCTCCGGCCTCCTCTACCCCGTCCTTCTGTCAGAGATGAGCTGGCCGCAGCTCCAGGAGCACCCAGAGAAGACCCCAGAGCCCCCTGCACCTCCCAAGGCCTGAGCGTGCGGCTGCGGCAGCCCAGGGGACTGCAGCCTGGCAGGGACCGGGCCAGGTGTTGCTATCGGAGTGTCTCCATCCGGGGTGCAGGTCTGGGCTGGCCCCACCGCTCTCCACTCAGGGAGCCCCACTTGGAGCACACCGGTGCCTCCGGGCTCAGGACCGGGCGTGGGAGAGCCTGCTGGACACACAAGGCTCAGCCGGCTCTCGGCTCCTGGCCCACAGGGCCCTCCTCCACGTGCCCTCACCCCTGCCGGAGACCTTCGCCCCTGGAATGATAGCTGAGCAGCCGGAGGCCTCTCCCGGGCCCCAGGGGGCTCTCCACCCAGTCTCTGCTGACAGTTCTGCCCACACCTGCCCAGGTGGTTCCCGCAGTGAGGCCTTGGCCCCCAGAGACCCAAACAGGGAGCGGGGACCATTCATGCGCCAAGCCTCACGCCTTGGGGAAGCCTCAGATAGGTCTACCTCCTTTTCTCTAAGAGGAAGGACAGCATATGGGGGGACACCCAGCCTCCGTGACCTGGTCACACAGGGCGCCCTGGGGCTCCCTAGGGGCTGTGCCCAGGACCTTGTGGCCCTCCCTGCAGCTAGCCAGGCTGAGGCTGCCGCCTGCTGGTGAATCGCAGTAGAATGTCCCTGGGTACCCCACATGCCCTCTGCTGGCCTCTGCTGGCCTTGGGTTCCAGGGGCTTGGCCAGGTTGTCCCCTTGGCCACATTACTGCACTGACCCGAGGTAGGTGCCCCCTTTCCTTGCCTGACCCTTGAGATCCTTGTAGTGAGGCCTCCCTGGGGTACCCTGGCCCCAGGTCAGGCGGTCAGCTCTGTGCACCAGGATCGTGCTGGGCCTGGGCACCATCTGACGTGGGCCCTGTTCCAGCTCCTCACTGTGGACCCCAAGCACCGAGTGTCCAGCCTGCAGGACATGCAGGCAGCCCCGTCACTGGCCGGCGTGCTGTGGCAGGACCTGAGTGAGAAGAAGGTGGCACCGGGCTTCGTGCCCAATGTAAGCCTGGCAGGCGATGGGCAGCGGCTCCGGGCAGGTGTGGGCCCACCGGCAGGCAGGGCTGAGCTTCCTGTCCCCCCACAGAAAGGCCGCCTTCACTGCGACCCCACCTTCGAGCTGGAGGAGATGATCCTGGAGTCCAGGCCTTTGCACAAGAAGAAGAAGCGGCTGGCCAAGAATAGGTCCCGGGACAGCAGCAGGGACAGCTCGCAGTCGGTGAGTGACGGGCCTGGTGCGGGGTCCTCCCTGCCTTACCCTGATCTGAGGGCCCCCCCCGACCTGAGCCCCGCTCGTCCTTCTCCTACGCAGGTGACATCCCTCCCGTTCCTGGCTGTGGTGCTCGGGCTAGGGACGCATCATGCCCAGCTCTGCTCCCGGGTCTCCCACACTCTCCCTGTGTGTGTCTCCTCTTACAGGGACACCCTAACCCCAGATGACCCTCTCCTAACCTGACTCTGTCACATTCCAGGGAGCTGCAGGGTAGGATGTCACTCTGGGAGGGACACAGTGTAACCCACAGCAACCCCTCTCCTGCCCCAGGAGGGTGGGGGCGCTCCTGGGGAGCTCAGGCTGTGGGCATGGGATCAACCCTGCACCTGTCCCCCGGGAACAGCTGGTACTCAGAAGCACCTGGAGGTACAGGTGTGGATGGCAGGGGTCACAGTGGTGACCCTGTAAGCCACTGGTGGCCCCCTTCCACCCCTGGACCCGTCTGAGCCGGCGGAGGCCCCCAGCCCAGTGTCACCTCCTCACACCTGCTCCCCGGCACAGGGTCAGGCGGGAGGTGGGTGTCGCCCCCTGCAGGGCTGCAGGTTTGCGGGCATCCCTGGGGTGCCTGGATCCTGGGGAGCAGTGGGGCCCGGCAGCTGGTGGCGGCCCCTGGTGTGCGGAGCTGGAATTGCAGGTGTGGCCCCGCCCATTTCCAGGTGGGCTGTTTTGCTGTGGCTGTGGGGTGAGCACTGTGAGCCCCTCCGCGGAAGCAGGCGAGCCACGCTCCTTGGTCCTGCGGGGATTGCTAAGAGTCGTGTGCGTGTCCTGAGGCAAGGGCCTTATCAGAGGGGCTGCAAGCATTCTGTTCTGTGGGTTTTCTCTTTGCGGGAGGTGTCGTTCGCGGAGGCGTTGGACTTTGGTGAAGCGCGGAGTGTCCACTTCTGCTCTCTCGTTCCTGCTTCTGGCGTCTTACCTAAGAGACCGCTGCCTGACCGAAGGCCACGAAGATTCACTTCTGCCTTTTCTTCTAAATGTTGTGTAGTTTCACCTCTGGGGTCCGCTTTGGTTCATTTTTACGGATAGCGTCAGGTTGGGGTCCAGGGTCGAAATTTTGCACGTGGATGCACTCGTTCAAGCGCTGTTTGTTGCAAAGACCTTTCTTTTCCCATTGAACGGCTTGGCATCCTTTTCAAACATTAATCCGCCAAAAGTAAGGGCTTATTTATGGACTTGCGATCCTACCCCATTGATCTGTCCGTCTTCCTCGTGCCAGCCCCGCACTGTCCTGATGACTGTAACTTTGTAGTACGCTTCGAGATCAGGAACTATGAGTCCTGCGCTTTGTTCTCTTTCAAGATCGCTCGGCTGCTTTGGGTCCCTTGCGTTTTCGGTGAATTGCAGGAGGTTTGGGAAGTGTATCTGAGCTGCTTCCCGGGTCTGTTTTTGGCTAGAAGTGGAGCCTGGCCGCAGGCTCCGCGGGCGACAGCTGGGGTCCGCTCCGTGGTCACAGCTGGGGTATCAGTGCTCATTAAGGCCCCACAGACGTCTGCCTGGAGACAGGGATTCATCCGAAGGGTTTATTCAGGAAATACGCTCCGGGGGGTGGATGTCAAAGTCCCGTGGACAGCGGCTTCAGCCTGACCCTCCAGGGACCCTGGTGTGTCGGCCACACTTTGAGGATGCTGGCTTTCATCTCCCAGCCCCCATGGCCATCAGCTACGGGGCAGGAGGGACATGCGTTTCTGCGGCCTTCCGACCGTGTGTGTGTTGGCCGAGGGCCGAATGGCGCAAGTGTGGGCGTTGGAAGGAGAGCGCCCAGAGCAGGACGGACGCACAGACACAGCACAAGGCTTCCTGCCGACGCACGCGACGCAGCCATGGAAGGGGGTGCTCTGTGCACCCCGTGGTGTGTGCGGCCCACCTCGGTACCACCCGCTCCCACCGTGCCCTGGATAGTTCTGGAACCAGCCTCAGGCTTCCTGGGAAAACCAACATGAGCACGGTTAGCAGGACGGACCACAGCCCTGGCCGCTCCCGCCCTCCGTGTCCCTTCATGTACCTCCCCACCCGCACCTGCTCCTCTGTGTGTCAGTCGCTCCCCTCCTGGTGTGACGCGGACCCTCGCCCGAGAGCTCAGAGCCCTGGGCGCATCGTTTCTCAGGCGGGAGTGTGTGCACTCGTCCATTTATTATCAGCAGGAGCCCTGTCCCTGATGGTGGAGCCGGTCACCCGGCCAGGGTGGTGGCTCCTCTCGGGAGGCCAAGGTGGCAGGGCAGTGACTGTGGAGGACAGAGTTGCACACGCCGAGTGCTGGCCTCCAGTCTTCAGTGGGCGCTGACCACCGGTGTGAGGAGCTTCGGGCTGGGGGCGCCCGGAGCCCACTCAGGGCCAGGCACAGTTCACCTGATCCCCCCACCGTGGCCGCGTGTGGACAAGGACATCTGGAGGACGTGCCGCCTCCTGCGCCCCCATCTAGTTACCATCACCACCAGCATGGCGCAGGACCGCGAACGTCAGACGAGCGAGGCTCTTTCTGGCTCCATCGTGACAGGGACCGGGAGGGTAAGCCGGCCTTGGGCCAAGACCACGGAAGTGCCACGGTCCACCTCGGGTGACTGCAGTCCGGTCCTCGTCCTTCCTGTGGGGGGCACAGAGAGGACGCCTCCGTCCACCTGGAGGCCGCGAGCCACACCCCAGAGCTATGCGTAACCGGTGCGGCAAAAGGACCCTGCCTCCGGCTCAGCCGCTGCGCCTGGAGCGGCCGCGGGCTTACGTGTGCTGTGGCCCCCGCCGTCTGCCACAAGCCAGGGGCCGGGCCTGCCAAGGGGGCGGGAAGAGAACAGGGAGCGGCGTCCCTGTGCCCTGAACGTTCGAAGGCAAAGGTGCAGACTTGAAGTCGTGGACTGCCGTTCCTCCGCAGACGCGGGCTTGTGATTTATCAGGACCAGGCTGCTTTGTTGGGTCAGGGAGCAGGACCTTCTCTTCCACCACAGAAGCTGCTCCCCACGGCCGCGAGGCTCTGCCAGATGCCATGAGTGCACCGTGTTCGTGCCTTCGGTGGCTGGCGGCGGGGCGATAGCCACGCGGTGGGGCTGGGGTCGCCGCCCCGGTGAGGTGGGCGTGGCCAGGTGTCCCAGCAGACCCTGCATCCAACCGACCTCCGAAGGCCGGCGTTCCCCCTTCCCCAGGTGTGCTCAGGGGTACGCTCGGGAAATGACTGTGATTTCCCATCAAGGTGGCTGATGACAGCCTTCTGCTCTCGTACCCTTGATCTCACTGCCTATGTGCGAGCGCGTGCGTGTGCATGCGCGTGTCTGAGCACTCGCTGTCCACCTCTCCGACCCCCAGGGGCAGTCTGTGACCCGTCGGACATCACTAGATCCTGGGGCTGGAGGTGACCTGCTTGTCACTGCAAACCCACTGCCGTGACCCTGGTTACTCCCACCTGGTTAGGTCCGGCTAAGTTAGGTCCAGGCTTCTGCCGTTCCCACATGCCATCATCACCATGGTTTCTAGAAAACAGGCAGCGCTGAGCTGCCCCATGGTGCCGTGACCCTCACCAGCTCATTCCTTAGCACCTTGCTGAAAGGAATGTCCTTTGGGGCCTCCAGGAGAACATGGTCATCTGAAGGGTCCTTGGTTCTTGACTCTTTTGAGTCTGTCGACCCATTCTAGCTGCCCACTTCTCTTGAGACTGAGCTCCCCTCAGCATTGGCCCCAGGCTGTTCTGGAATCTTCTAGGCCATCATGTCTTCCAAGTTTCCAGGAGCCTCCCTGCAGCTTATTAGACCCCACTCTAGGGGTCTTGCCAGGGAATGAGCTCCCCGATCATGAGAGGATGCCTCATGCAACCGCATAGCCCACACCCCGCCCTCCCACAGCCCTCGGGTGCTCACCCAGGCTGTCCTCCCGCAGCAGGGAGCGCCTCTATGACCTTAGCAGGTCCCACACTGGCCGTGCTGCTGGTGACCAGGACTGTTCAGAGGCCAGGAGGGTAGGTGGAAGCAGATCTGGGGGAGCTGCTCTGTGCCACTTGCAGGAGCCTTGGAGAGGTGCTGCTCTCCTCCCGTGGCAGGGGGGCCTCTTGCAGGCTGGAAGGTGCGGGCACATCGCGGGGCTAATGTGCCCACCCATGTCCACTCAGAGGCCCTCCCAGGTTCTGGGGTCCAGCTCCCTCCTTCCCACAGCCTTGGCTTTGGTGCAAGGAGGGGAGGGAGTGAAGCCAGGTGTGGTTTCTGGCCAAGTTTCGTCCTGCAGACACTGTCTCCGTGTCAGCACCCACCCTGAGGCAGGAGCTTCCAACCTGGGCATCCTTTGGTCGCTGGCTAAGGTCACCCAGGAGATGCAAAGCCCCACATGCTCTGGCTGCCCGGGCAGTTCCTCCAGCAGCCCGAAAGCAGGTCTCCAAAGAAAGCCCCAGGTGCAGGCCACAGGAGGAGACGTGGGGAGGGAGGCAAGCTCAGGAACCCCCTGAGGGGATGCGAGGGAGCCTCAGAGCATCCACTACACTCATCGGTATGTTTTTCTGACTAATAGGAGAATGACTACCTTCAGGACTGCCTTGATGCCATCCAGCAAGACTTTGTGATTTTTAACAGAGAAAAGTGAGTGTGTTGGGGGTGGGCAGCGGCGGGCAGGGAGGAGGTTGAGGCTCTCTGGGCCACACAGGTCCTGAGCCCCAGCAGCCACGAGGCATCAGGGGGCCTGGGAAGTGGACTCCCACCCTCCTGGGGCCTCGGGGCAGCAGCCCTGGGGGCAGAGGGTGGGAGGCCCCAGCTCAGGCTTGTGCGGGAGGGCTCCTTGGGAACTTTCAGTTCTAAATGGGGGGTCTAACTGCCAGAATCTCCTGGGGAGACCCTCGGTGCTCTGCCCACACGGGCCGATGACTTGCGGTCCTGCAGAGTCGCATGAACTGCTACCCCTCATGCATTCCATAAACCCTTACTGAGTGCCAGGGACTGTGGGTCAGGAAGACACGACAAGCCACAGATCGCTAACACACCTGCTGCAGGGGAGGGAGGAAGCCCAGCACAGTGGGCCCAGGAGAGGAGTGGCAAGGTGAGGCACGGAGGGCTTCCTGGAGGAGGCAGCTCTGAGCTCTGTCCTGCCTCAGTGACCAGGACAATGTGTGGGCACTGGTTTAGGGCACTGGCTTCCATCCTGGAGGTCAGAGGCCTGAGTGAGAACTGACTCGGTCAAGCTCTCTGCAAAGCTTTGTTCCAAAATTGCTGATGCACAGGAATGCACTTAAACTAGGTGTCCTCAGCTTCTGGCTCACCAGCCCCACTGCTCGAGCCTGGGGCCTCAGTGGTCACACAGGGCGCTGCCAGGCTGGACATCGCTCTCAGCTCCCCGTGGCGCCTGCAGGGACATGAGGTCCAGCCGTGTTCCCAGGGGACCCATTCCGCGAGTCCTCGGACAAGTTGGGTGCCGGCCAGAAGTGTCCGGGGGCTGCTGGTGAGGCTGCAGAGAGCCCCTCCTTGTGTTTCCCCACCAGGCTGAAGAAGAGCCAGGACTCCGCGAGCGAGCCCCTGCCCGCCCCCGAGGCCGGGGATGCTGCGGAGGACCGGGAGGGGGCGCGCCCCGCGGGGCCCATGTGCGGCTCCATCTGCCCCTCCCGCCTCACTGAGAGTTAACGCCAGTTGCTTTGGAGATTCGGTCGGCCAGCAGGACAGGACAGGCGGCGGGCAGAGGCCCCGCGTGGACGTTCCCAGCCAAGCAGCCCAGTTCATCCCAGCACAGACCCGGCCGGTGGCCCCACAGCACCCTGGCCCTGATTTCCCTGGGACGGGCTGCCTGCCCACTGGCTCTCGTCAGCATAGGGCAACTGGAGGCTGTCAGTGTGGCCGAGGGGTGGGCAAGCAGGCTGGGTGCCCCCCTCCCCAGCGGCTCCGTTCCCGGCAATTGTGGCAGGAGGCCCGTGGCCTCTCCTGGTGGCCCCCTGACCCGCTCCCGGCAGTCACAGAGGTCCCAGCACCCCCAGCTGTACATATGGGCGCCGGCCCTGCTGTGGGCAGACGGACACCGTTCACGGGCTCCCCGGGGGCCACTCGGGCTTGTGCGTCCGGGGGAGGGGGAGGTGAAGAGTGCTTTTATAGAGATACTTCTGCCGTGTTTCTGTAGATTTCTCACCTCTGAGCATCATGACGTAAGAGCTGCTCGGTGTCTGTGTTGTGTGTGTCGCGTGCCCGCAGCTGCGGGGTGCACAGGCCGGTCCGTGGGCCGGGCGGCTCCCACAGTCCCACGGCTGCGGTGGGGGCGCCCTGGGGGGGCGGGGCGGAGGCTGGGCCTGCCGCAGAACCAGAAGCAGCACCGCAGGTCCTGTGAGGAGCTGGCTGGCCCGGGCGGAGGAGGCAGGCTCGCTGCCCCACTTGCTGAGGGCCGGGCAGTGAGAAACGCAACCCCAGGTGCTCATGTGGGGACTCAGGGCTCCGGTCACCAGCGGGAAACCAGGGTCCAGGGAGGGCGGCTGCAGGATGCCCTGTGGGGGTGGTACCAACCCCCAGAGAAGGTTCTAGATGGAGACAGATCTGGTGATGTTGGAGATTGGAACAGGGAAAGAGGTTTTGCAAAAATATGTAAATCTTGGGCGCCCAGGTGGCTCAGCTGGTTAAGCGTCCGACTCTTGATGTCAGCTCAAGTCTTGAGTTCAAGCCTGTTTCCTGCGTTGGCAGCAAGGATGTGGGTGTGGCCTGGCTCCGTGATCATGTCTCACCAGGACCCGGACACGGGCCCCAGCAGAGCCCCAGAAACCTGGCTGTGAGGACACACTGACCCAACAGATCTGGGCTAGCAGGAACACGGGGACCACCAGGTTGGACCTTCAGGGGCTGCCCTGGATCATGGCAGCTTCACCAGAAGCCCGGATTCAAGGGTGGAGCTGTCCGTGTCCCCCCAGAGGACACAGCTGGTCACCACTGGGAATGGACGTCAGCACAGGTACCGGAGTGCCTGGCAGTGCGAGGTGTGGGGGACCTTCCCTGACCCGTCCAGCTCTTCTTCCCAGTGACCATGCACACCCTGCTCCCAGGGCGAAGACACCCTCTGGGAACATCCCACACCTGGGAGCAGAACTGGGGCCATTTCTACGAAGCAGGAGAGGCCAGCCCAGCCCAGCAGCTCCTTCTCCTGGGTCAGAACCCTGGGGGGCGCAGGCACAGGCCTCAGGCCAGAGCCACACCCTCCTGGCCCATCTGGTCGGAATGTGGGTGCAGGTCCTCCAGCCCAACCCTCTCCCTCGGAGCGCCTGGCCGTGGGTCACGCCAGCATCCCTCTGTCTGGCTGCGTCTGGCCAGCAGGCCTGGATTCGGGCACGGTTCCCAGGCCCCCTTCCTTGAGATGAAGCACCAGCCCTGCCCCTTCCCCGCCCAGAGGTGGAGCAGAGCTGTCCCCGGGGGTGGTCAGCCGTGCAGCCAGCAGGAATGTCCCTGAGGGCCCCACGCATAAGCCGCTGGTGGGAAAATGAAGTCAGGGCCACACACCAGCAGCTTCTCACCCGGACGCCTTTAATTGACCCGATTCCCGGGGGCCTGGGGCGCAGGCCGCCGTCGGGGCTGCGGGGGGCATGCAGCTTGCCGGCTACAGTTGTCCCCAACGCACAAAACCACTGCTCTAACCAACTACTGCAATGCACACTTAGTAGTAAAAGGACAGCATCTCAGCTAAAGGATCCTAAGACTCCCCTGGAGACAGGCAACTACGCGGGCCAAGTTTGGTCCTTGGCAACGTGTACAAACAAGGCCGCCCTTCGCTAAGTTCCCGATGGGTCCCTGAAGCCTTGTGGGTGCTCCCCCCACGCCAAGCGGACAGGGAGAGGAGCCGGCGGGAGGCCCGGGGCTTTGCAGGGCAGTGATCCACAACAGGGAGAAGGGAGCAAGCGCCCCGAACCTGCAGCCTGGCCCGCTGTCCGTGCATCTGTGAGGGCCTGGGGGTTGTGGTGGGCCTGGCCGGGTGGCAGCCCTGCCTTCGTGCAGCATCTGGCCGTCCTTCAGGGCCACCACCTCCAGCCTCCTCAACCTGGCAGTGAAACCCCCCTCTCCTTGCACGGGCTCCTCCTACAAGACCTGGGACCCCAAAAGGGGAGTTTCGGGGGGAAGGTGAGGCCAAGCACCTTTCAGGTAAATTCAACAAAGGGAGAGCTAAGTGAGGTGAGCGGCCCCCACCAGCCGCTGCCCTGTGGGACAGCACCAACTCGCTGGGCCCCAAGGGGACGCCTAGGACAGCGAGGTGATGTTGGAACGTCCGCCGGGGGGGGCCATGATCTTCTGAGCCGTGCGTCGGGCAATGTGGTCGTCAGCCTGAGACCCTGCAGAAAAGGCGGGTGTGAGGGCGGGGGCGCGGCCACACTGGCTGCAGCTGTGACCACGGCGGTGGCTGCCGCGTCCCCAAGCACCCACACCGCGGACAGCCTGGCGCGGGGAGGAGGCGACCCGCCGATGCTCCCACTTTGAGGCAGGGGTGCCCAGGAAGTGCGGCCGGAGGCCAGGCCTGCTCATCCGGCCCGTGGGTCTCAGCCCTGTGGCCGGAGAAGGCTGCCCCTGGCTTTTAAGACGTCCCTGGCTTTCCAGGGGCAACTGGCCAGGTCCTGTGTGTCCAGGAAGCGAGCAGGGACTGTCACCCAAGAGGGCGGTCAGGCCGGGACATCGGGGGCAGGAAGAGGGAGGGTCTGGCTCTGGTTTGCAGGGAGGACCTGGGGCCCAGGGCCTCTGCAGGACCCCGACCACAGGCCCAAGCAGCGGCCGGCACACCGGGCCACCTGAGCCCTCCAGAGCATCCCCATATGTCCCCATAGGCTCATCGACCCCTTCCTTATGTGCCTCACATGCAACTCTGAGACCGGAGGGGCTGGACCCCACGTGGCACTCGGGTTCCCACAGAGGCATCCCACGCTCACCCCTAGGCTCAGAGTGAAGCCCTCTCCTCGGCATGGCTGGTGCAAGGTGGGGGTCACTGCGGCCACTCTGGGGCGGACGCCGGGGCAGGACAGGATTTCCCCACAGGTCCACACCCCGGGCCTGGGCCCCGGGAGGGCAGGCGGAAGCATGTCCTGCCCCCAGTCCCCACCCTGCCCAGTCTGCGGGTGGCTGTGGATGGAGTCTGCAGCCTTGCTGAGCTCGCCCCCTGACAGGCTGAGCCCTGGTACCTGTGACCCCAGGGGCCCTCCTGCCCCTGCGGATGGCCCCGCAAAGCGCCCCCCGCCCCGCTCCACTCACCAGACAGGCTGAACCCCGACCGATGCAGGTTGCGCACTGGTGGGACCGAGATCTTCCCTGGGCAGGACGCACGGGCCTGGGCACTGCCCCCCAGCTTGGCAGGCACCATCACCTCATGGACGGGCCCATCGTAGAGGCCTCGGGGCACGCCGTGGATCTCCGCCAGCTGCAGGGCCGAGGGGCCTGGGCGTGAGGGGGGCTGAGCGTGCTCCGCTCCACGGGCCCCCCTCGGTCGGGCTCCAGAGCCCAGGGCTCCCCGCGTCCACCTGCACACTTGCACGCACACGTCTCCGTGCCCACACACGTGCACACAACTCCTCCTGCCCCCGAGGCTGGGTGGCAGTGCCCTGGGTTGGAGGACACCACTCAGACGGGCAGCCCTGAGCAGGTGGCCTCTTCTGGGAATGGAAAACCAGCCCCGACAGCCCCTGCCTCCTCAGGACCCACGGTTCTGTGGCCCCAGAAGAGCCCCCACTCCAGCCCGGAGGAGGCCCTGGGTCTCCCTGAAAGTGGCCCCAAGGCCAGAGACCTTTCCCAGCAGCCACCACGACAGACGAACGGGCCACGAACCGAAGCAAAACCGCCCCGTGTGCTTGTGTTTCCTGTGGGCGCCTCCCTTGGGATTCGTGTCTAGACTCACGATGGTGGCCAGCCCTGGGGGGGTCACCACGGCGTGGCGGCTCGCACCGCCGAGCGGCAAGTGTGGGGCTTCGAGTCCCAAGGATTTGGGTCTGAGTCCACACTCCCCCGATCACCCTGGGGGAGGGCCTGGGAGCCCTCCACCTCTCCGTGCGTCGGTGGTACGTGGTGCCCCGGACCCCCCACCCCACCGAGCGGGAGGGCTAGGGATGCCGGGCCTTCTGGCCTGGACGCTGCACCTTGGCCGGCGGGGCCGCCTTCTCAACGTCCCTCCTGGGGGAGCAGCTGCGCGGCCCTCACCACCTGAGACCCCCGTGTGTTTGCGAGTTAGACCCCTGACCCGGCCCGCCTTGCTCCGATTCAGACGCCATCCTTCTACAAAACTGCGTAATGCAGACCTGTGTGTACCGTGCGTGTGTATGTGCGCGTGCGTGAGCCACCAATACGTGCTGTGCGTGCGTCCCCAACGCGTGCTGTGCGTGTGCCACCCACACGCGCTGTGCGTGCGCCAGCATTGCGTGCTGTGCGTGCGCGTGCGTGAGCCACTGACACGTGCCGTGGGGGGGCCTAGGCAGACAGACGCCTGGGGCACCCGGCGACGCAGTGCGTAGCCCAGCAGAGGGAAGAGGACTCACAGCTTCTAAGCTCGCGAAAGCTGTTGGGGAAACTGCGTGTCCCTGCGTGTTTGTTCACGGGCACGGCTGCGCACGGGGACGCGCACGGGGAGCCCGGGCTGCCTGCGCTGCAGCCTATCGCTCTCCCGGGGCGGCGGCGCCCACTGATGTTTGTAACACAGCCGCTACTAAG